CTCATCCTCATCCTCATGCGCATCCTCCTCATTCCCCTCCTCATTATCATCTTCGTTTTCATCAACGTCATCAATCTCGTCACGGCCACCATCATCACCACCACCATCATCATCAGCAGCATCAGCATCCGCATCCGCACCAGCATTAGCATCAGCAGCAGCATCAGCATCATACACATCATCATCAGCATCATCAGCATCATCACCACCGTCATAATCATAGGCATCATCATTATCATCAGTCTCAGCATCATCATCACCATCATCATCTTATTCGTCATCATCATCAACACCATCAGCATCATCATCATCATCATCATCATCGTTCGCATCATCGTCATCAGCATCAGCATCAGCAGCATCACAATAAAAACCACCAGCATCATGCTCATCAGCACCATCATCATCACTAGCCTTATCAACATCATTATCAACCTCATCACCAGCAACCTCAGCATCACCATCAACGTCACCATCATCACCACCATCATCGTTATAAATCATCACCATCAGTATCATAAACAGCACCATCAACATAAACAGCAGCATCAAACTCATCATCATCATCATCATCACCATCAGCATCACCATCAGCAGCATAGTCATCATCGACACAACCATCATTATCATCATTACCATCATCATCAGAATCACCACTACCACCATCACCATTATCATCATCAGCATCATCAGCATCATCGTCATCAGCTTCATCAGCATCATGATCATCATCACCACCACAATCGGCATCATCATCATCATCAGCAGCAACATCAGCAACATCGGCATCATCATCATCACCATCATCAGCACCATCATCATCATCATCACCATCACCATCATCATCATCAACATCATCATCAACATCATCATCACCATCATCATCCGCCCCCTCTTCTCTCTCCTCCCTCCTCCGTCCTTCTCCTCCTGTCCATCCTCCTCCTCCTCCTCCTCCTCCTCCTTCTCGACCACCTCCGCTGCGAGAGACCAAGGCGACGGAGGTCCGGGCGAGGATGAAGGGGGGGGAGAGGGGAAGAGAGGGACGATGAGGATGAGAGGGAGGCGGGCGAGAAGCAGAGGAGGGCGGAGGAGACGCAGCTCGGCTCTGCACTCGCGTCCGCCCGCGCGCGCCCGCCGCGCCGCGCGCGTGCGCGCCCGCCGCCGCCCGCGGGCCCTGGCGCGCCACGCCGCGTGGGCGAGGCGCCAACAAATACTGGCGGCGGACCGCTTCAGACGAGCAGAGAGGCGCACGGCCTGCGGCCCACCACCCCCTTCACTCGATCGCCTCGGCGATGTACGCCGACGCCAGAGTGGCGAAGATCAGCGCCTGGACTTGGGCGGTTCCCATCGCACTCCAGGACCACATCCCAGGCAGGATTTCGAGCACCCGGAGCAGTATCGAGACGGTGTCTGCCCGACGCGCTGGCGAAGCGTCGAGCGAGTGTGGCCTCCCAGGGCCCGCCACGCGAAAAACCTTCAGTCTCGATACGCTCTTGATGCACGAAATTCTGTCTGCTGGTCGGAGCTAAAATAGGTTGAAACATGATAAGCCTGGATGGAGCCCGCGAAGATGCCCAGCGCCATGATGGGCAGGGGGATGACGAACGGAACCAGGAAGGTGAGGACGGCCACGGTGAGCTCATCCGCGAGCACGTTCCCGAAGAGCCTGAAGCTCAGGCTGAGCGGCTTGGTGAAGTCCTCGAGGATGTTGATTGGCAGCAGGATGGGCGTGGGCTTGACGTAGCGCGCGAAGTACCCGAGGCCCTTCTTCACCAAGCCGCCGCCAAAGTAGGCGATCGAGGTCAGCAAGCTAAGCGCCACGGTGGTGTTGATGTTGTTGGTGGGCGCCGCGAGCTCGCCCTCTGGAAGCTCCAGCAGCTTCCACGGCACCAGCGCCCCAGACCAGTTGGAGCCGAAGATGAACAAGAAGATCGTGGTCACGAACGGCACCCAGGGGCGGTAGAACGACTCTCCGAGGTTGTTCTTCGCGATGTCCGAGGTGAACCCGAGCGTCATCTCCTGAAAGTTGCGCACGCCCGAGGGCGCGCCTGGAGGAACAACCAGACGCACACGTAGGAACTTCTGGAAGTCCGCGCGGCTCTCTCGGATCGTCGCTCGGGGACCCCCCGGCGGCGCTTCCGGCGCCGCCCCCTGGCGCGCTCCGCGCGCCAACAGAGGGGCGTCCGGCGCCGATCCAAGACATCCGCACGGACCTCCGAACGCGTATGCGAATGCCCCAGACATTGTGGACGTTTTTTTACTCGGCGTTTCGACATTGGGCGGAAAGGGGGGGGAGGGGGGGGTCTGGCATGGCTCCGGACCTCTGCTTGCTGCGACTGTTTGCAACAGTGCGTCTAATGAGGGAGAGGGTCCATCTGCTCGAAACAGGCGACAAAAACAGCCAGGATCCACTCCAAGGAGGGGGGGGTGCGAAGGCCCGCGCCGATCGGCAAAACAATTAATGAAAGACGCTCACATGCGACGTCTTGTTTATTTCTCTCAGTGCGAGGTCCCCGGAAGTCCCGCGATGCTTTCCCTTGCATCCCGCGAGCCGTCTTCTGACCGCCCCCGGGGCCTGGCGTGAGGTCGGGCGTGCCCCTCTACAGGCGGATGTTGGACGGAAAAGGAAACATAGCCCCCAACATGCTCAAACAGATTCAGAAATGGTCGAAAACTCGCCCCTGACTATTTCTGGACCATTTTTGAGCACTCCCCCTGTAGCAGGACAGGCCCAGCTTGAGCCTGGCGAGGGCCCCCGGAGGCCGCGGGCGACCATGAGACCTCCCGCCGCGACGTTCTCCCACGGCCCCGCGCGCGCGCATGCTCCCGCGGCAGCTCCTCGGAGCCTCCGTCGAGGAGCCGAGCTCCAAATCTCGCCATCGCTCGGACGTCCATTTGTGGTGTTTTGTTCGGTTTCGTGCGTGGCTTTCTCGCCAAATGGTCAAGGATGCTCCTCGATGGTCCTCGCCGAGAAAAAGATGCACACGGCCGAGCGATGCCAGGAAATCGCAATCCGAAGCCTAGTCGCATCGGACGCGGGAGCGCTGCAAGTCGAATCGAACCTGCACGGAGGAGTGTGGGCCCTGCGGCGTGCGCGAGCACGTCTGGGGCCGCTTGTCCTCCCCGATGCATCGGCAACGTCGGCGATGCATCGGCGCCGTCGGCGAGGAGGAAATCGGGATCCACATCGAGCCGCATCGTCGATCTATCGGCGATGCGGCGCGATCCTGCGGCCCCATCTGCTCGGACCCCGCCTGGGAGACGCGAGCATGCCCGGGGCCGCTTCCACGCCACACAAAAGATATGCACAAACGCCCGCCAAGGAGTGCTTCCCGTGTCTTCAAGGGAGGGTGGCAGCACATCATGACATCGATTAATTAAGAATATTTCTAGTTCGCGCGCGCGCGGGGCCGCCCCAGGGGGTCCCCGAACGAAAAATACCCCGGCGGGTCCCTGGGCGGTCCCCGGGCGGTGCGGATCAGAGACGGTTTTCCTCCTGGGCGCGGCTTTCCAAGAGGCGCCCAAGACGATCCAAGAGGGCCCCGAGTCGTCGACCGACCCGTCCGAGACACCCAGGATGGCTTCCAGACGGCCCACAAGGCCTCCAAGACGCCCCAAGAGGCCTTCAAAAGAGTCTTCCTCAAAAAGAGCCCATACGAGGCAAAAACCATTGATGTTCCAATGGTTTTTGGTGACGTTCCCGCCTTTTCAGAGTCCCGACGCTCCATGACGGCCAAAGAGGCCCCCAGGACCGCCCCAGGCCAGCCCAAGAGGTTTCCAAGAGAGCCCCAGAACGGTCCAAGAGGGCCCCAAAACGGCCCCAAAGGCGCCCAAGATCGCCCAAGAGGGTCCCAAGACGGCCCCAAGAGGGGCCCAGGAGGGAGAAGTGACACAGAAGCAATCCACTGGGGGGAGGAGGAGGAGGAGGAGGAGGAGGGGAGGAGGAGGAGGAAGAGGAGGCGGAGGAGGAGGAGGAGGAGGAGGAGGAGGAGGAGGCGAGGACGGAGGAGGAGGAGGATAGAGGAGAGGAGGAATAGGAGGAGAGGGGAGGAGGACGCGGAGGAGGAGGAGGGGGCAGAGGGGCCCCAAACGCAGTCGGCCGCGGCCTCCCCCGTGCGATCTCGATCGATGAAAATTTCGACCAGCGCCCGCCTATCTCTGTGGCCCGTGGCAGGCATTTTTCTTTCCCCCACGCGGCGCCGTACTCGGACACGGGCGCCTTGGCGTGGCGCGCCACGGCGGCGCACACGCTCACCGTGACGCGGGCGCTCAGCAGCAGGGCCGGCAGCAGCGTCGCGCCGGAGAAGGCCGTCGCGGTGGCTGCGCCCGCCGCGAGGGAGGCGGCGCCGCCGGCGGAGCCGGCCGCCTCCTTCGGCGGGTTCAGAGCTGGGACCCTGATGGTCCTCCTCCTCCTCCTCTTTCTACTCCTCCACGTCGTCGTCGTCGTCGTCATCATCATCATCATCATCATCATCACCACCACCACCATCATCATCATCATCATCAGCATCATCGTCGTCGCCGTCGATGTCGATGTCGTCGTCGTCGTCGTCGTCGTCGTCGTCGTCGTCTTCGTCGTCGTCCTCATCACCACCACCACCATCACCATCACCATCACCATCATCATCACCACCATCACCATCATCATCATCACCACCACCACCATCATCATCATCTTACGCATAGTCATAATAATCATCATTACCGCCATCATCATCATCATCATCATCATCATCATCATCATCATCATCATCATCATCATCATCATCGTGATACTCATCGCCATCAACATCAACATCAACATCACAATCGACATCATCCTCAGCATCACCACCAATGTCTTCATCGACATCATCACCATCATCGCCATTGTCATCATCACCACAACCATGATCATCATCACCATCACCACTATCATCATGATCATCAGCATCATCATCATCATCATCATCATCACAATCATCACCATTGCCAATGTCACTGTTGCCATCATCAGCATAGCGACCGTCATCGGCATCATCATCACCAAAACTTACATCATCGCTATCACCACCATCACCACCAGCATCAATGCCATCGCCATCATCATCACCACAAGCAACATCATCATCATCATCATCATACTCATCATCATCATCATCATCATCATCATCATCATCATCATCGTCATCATCATCATCATCGTCGTCATCAGCATCATCATATCATCATCATCATCATCATCATCATCACCATCGCCATCACCACCGTTACCATCAGCATCAGCATCATCATCATCATCATCATCAGCATCAGCATCAGCATCAGCATCATCATCATCATCATCATCATAATCATCATCCCCCAGGGGCCCAGAGATCCGACGTCGTGAAACATCAAGACCGGTTTGTTCTGCAAGTTGTTCGAAGATCGAAGGCCCTCCCCGGGCCCGGGGACCGTCAAAGCACAACTCGGGGATGAAAAACGGGTCCCTGGGGAATCGACTGCAGGCAAGAGTGACCCTGGGTAAGAGTGACATTCGGTGCGCGGCTCTTTTGGGACCGAACACGAGCGCGCAAGACGCTATCACCGCATCGCGCTCGGCGATCGGGGGGCCCGCCAAAGGTCACTCCGGCGAAGGGCCACTCTCACGTGTAGTCGAGGGGACCCGTTAGTAAACAACAAATGCGACGGTGGATCTCTGAATATGCAGGGGCCCTGGGATACACAAACAAATATACACAAATAACAGGATTCCCCATATTTCCCCATATTTTCTGGGTTTTTGTCTTCCCCCCCACTGTCCATATTTTCCCATATTTTCCTGGGAGTCGACGATTGATTGTGTCTGTGTGTTTTTCTTCCCTCCTGAGAATATGCGGCCACGAGGGGCGAGGGGCCTCAGGCAGCGCCAGTTCAACCTGGAATCCCCCCCCGTCCTTGGGAAGCACAAAAGCCGCAGACATATGAGGCCCGAAGAGACCCCCACGAGGCCCTCAAGACGCCCCAAGAGGCCCCGAAACGGTCCTCAAGAGACCTCCAAGCGGCCTCCAAGAGGCCCCCGAGACAACCCAACGACCATCCTAGAGGCCTACGACCCACAATCCAGGAACGGCGGCGGGATGGGCCGCAAGGCATTCGGCCCGCCGCCCCCTGTTGGCTTGCTGAATTCTATACGTTTTGGTTTTGGTTCTTTTCCGAACGAACTCCCCCTGGGGCTTCGGCCGATCCCGCCGGCCACCAAGAAGGAGCTGGAAGGCACCTCAACGTCCCGAAAAAAATCCCCCAAGACGGTTCAAGATGGCCTCCATTAGTGCAAGATTGCTTCTAAGATCGCTCAAAATGGTCCAAAATGGTCTCCAAGACGGCCCAAGAGCGTCCAAGATAGCTCCCAAGACGGCCCTGGAGCACCTCAAGAGGGCCCCAAGTCGGCCCAGAGAGGCCCCAATACGGCTTCCGACAGCGTCAGACGGGCCAGGAGGCCACCAGGACGGCCCAAGATGGCTCCAGGATGGCCCAAGACGGCCCAAGAGGCCCCCAAGAGGTTTCCAAGACGACCCGAGAAGAGGCCTCCAAGAGGGACCTCCCGGAGGCCTCAAGAGGCCAACAGCATTGATTTTCATTAAGTTTTGAAGCATTTTGGCATTTGCGTCTTTTCGGCCTTCCGTCGACCCGAGACGGTCCAAGAGTCCCCAACGAGTGAGCCCCCCAAGACAGCTCCAAGACGGGCCAAGAGGCCTCCGAGACGCCCAAGATGGCCTCTGAGACGGCCCTTCCCAACGACGGCTTCCGATGGCGTCAGACGGGCCAGGAGGCCACCAAGACGGCCCAAGAGGCCCCCAAGAGGTTTCCAAGACGGCCCGAGAGGCCTCCAAGAGGGCCTCCAGGAGGCCCCAAGAGGCCAACAGCATTGATTTTCATTAGATATGGAAGCATTTTGGTATTTGCGTTTTTCCGGCCTTCCGACGGCCCGAGACGGTCCAAGAGCCCCCAACGAGTGAGCCCCCCAAGACAGCTCCAAGACGGGCCAAGAGGCTCCGAGACGCCCAAGACGGCCTCTGAGACGGCCCTTCCCAACGACGGCTTCCGACGGCGTCAGACGGGCCAGGAGGCCACCAGGACGGCCCAAGAGGCCTCCAAGAGGTTTCCAAGACGGCCCGAGAGGCCTCCAAGAGGGCCTCCAGGAGGCCCCAAGAGGCCAACAGCATTGATTTTCATTAGATTTTGAAGCATTTTGGCATTTGCGTTTTTTCGACCTTTCGATGGCCCGAGACGGCCCAAGAGCCTCCAAAGATCGTCCCATGCTCGCCCAAGAGGCCTCCAAGATGGCCCCAGAACGGCCCAAGAGGCCCCCAAGATGGCCCCAAGGAGCCCCAAGACGGCCAAAGAGGCCTCCAAGACGCCCAAGATGGCCTCCAAGACGGCCCTGGAGCACCCCAAGAGAGACCCAAGTCGGCCCAGAGAGGCCCCCAAGACGGCTTCCGACTGCTTCCGAGGGGCCAGGCATGCCTTGACGGCCAAAGAGTCACTCCGAGAAGCCCCTAAAGGCCAAGAGGCTCCCAAGATGCCTCCAAGAGGCTCCCAGGAATTTCCCAGGAGGCCCCAAGTGCCCCCGGAGGCTCCCAAGATGACCCCTCCTCCTCCTCCTCCTCCTCCTCCTCCTCCTCCTCCTCCTCCTCCTCCTCCTCCTCCTCCTCCTCCCCCACCTGATCTTCCCCGCCATCCTCCCCCAAGTGTTCCCCGATGGCCCGATGGGGTTTTCACAACGGCTGGGGGAACACATGGTCCGACAGCTTGGCAGAGCTCTTGCCACCACGCTTGTCCACAAGGGCGATTTCCAGGAAGGCAGGGCCCGGGGCGGCGGTGATTCGCCGTATGCGGCGACTTCGATCATTTCCCTGAAGTCCGCGCGGACCTCCGAGAAATTGAGCTGATGCCTTCGTACAGTGGGGGCCCATGTCAAGAAACACGCTGCTTGCCTGCCTTGGGATCCTTGGGTTTCAACGGTTTTGCTGTGGAAGCCGTGACGTTCCCACACCAAAAACCAATGGACGTCCTGGGGTCTCAGTCTCAGGCTTGGGTTTCTTGTGGAAGGTTCCTTGTGGTCGGGCTCCCACTGTCTGTTCTTGGAGGCCCTTAGGGGGCCCCGCCCCTCAGGGCCCCATCTGTGCACCGCCGGCGCCTGCGGCGCGCGGGCACCGCCGGGCCCCGCCAGGCGCGAGGGGGCGCGGCCGCGCGCCGGCGAGGCCAGGAAGGCGGCGGCGCCGAGGCCCGCGCAGAGCGCCGCGGCGAGCGCGAGGCCCGTCGCGGCGAGGGCGGAGCGCGAGCGGGCCATCGTGGCGCGCACGGGGAGGTGCGGAGGCGCTGGCTCGCTGGGCGGGCTGGGGCAAGGAGTGGCTGCAGGCGCTGCGCGGTGGCGGCGGGGGGGGAGGGAGCGAGGGGGGGCGGTGGAAGGGGGGGGGGGGGGGCAGGGGTGGCTGCAGGGGGGGGCGGGCTGGGGCAGGAGTGGCTGCGGGGGGGGGGGACGAGTGGGGCGGCGGGGATGCAGATGCGGAGCTGTCGGCGGAGCAGGCGTGCTGCTGCCCAAGCACGAAGGGAGACGCTCTCCGGGAACGATCAGGCATGAGGAAGAATGGGCCGCGGCCCGACCTGATGGTCACACATGAGGGGGCCGACCGGGGAAGAGGATGACAATGAGGGGCAACGTCAGGGTGAACCAGCTCAAGGGAAGGGAACATCGACCTGGAATCGGCGATACATCGCCAATTGATCGGCGATGGGCCCCCGACGACGAATCCGCACCGTCTTAGGGGTGGCTATCGGGCCCGAGTCGGCGATGAATGGGCGATTCAGGGAGCCAATCCCCTCCTGACGTTGCCCCTGAGACAACGAGAAGGGGGAGTGTTTGCTAGAAGGGGGAGTGTTTGCTCCCCCCCCCGCAAGATCAGCATGAAGTTAGCTCGGGCGCGTGCCGTTCGCATGACGAGCCAGGTGACAAGACTCCGCGACGCGACGATGCATATCCTCAGCCCCAATCGAGCGAGGTGATGGCCGATGCTGCACACGAGGACTCGAACTGATGCCAGAATGCCAGAAGCAACAAAGCATCAGCCAAGAGGGGTGGAGGAGGGGGAGACCCCCTGATCCCGTGCCCCCGCCCCCCTTGATGCTCGCCTCAACGATCCCCGTACTACCCACCCCTTCTTCTTCTTCTTCGACCTCCACCTCTCTCTCCCCCCTCACTCGTCCTGCTTCCCTGCGCCTGACGCTGCTGGTGCATGGCGCCTCCTCCTCCTCCTCCGCCTCCTCCTCCTCTTCGTCATCATCCTCTCTTCCTCCATCCTCTTGCGCTTGCTCCTGTACCTGCTCCTCCTCCTCCTGCTCCCTCCTCCCTCCTCCCTCTTCCTCCCTCCTCTCCTCCTCCTCCTCCTCCTCCTCCTCCTCCTCCCTGAGCCTCCTCCCTCCTCCCTCCTCCCTCCTCCCTCCCCTCCTCCCTCCTCCCTCCTTCCTCCCTCCTCCTCCCTCTCCTCCTCCTCCTCCTCCCTCCTCCCTGCTCCTGCTCCTCCTCCTCCTCCTCCTCCCGTTTCCTCCTCCTCCTCCCATTTCCTCCTCCTCCTCCTGCTCCCCCTGCCTCCCGTCTGCCTGCCCCCCTTCCACCTGCCCCCCTTCCCCCGTCGAAGGTGCCGGCGCTCCGTCAGGCAACGGCCGGCGCACCGGTGCAAGCAGGGCAGCAATCGCAACGTCTCCCCGTCGGAAAAGTGCTCCATACAGACCATGCACCGGCCACCATCCTGCGAGGCAGGCGCCCCTCTCGCCCTCCTCTTCCTCTTCTTCCTCCCTTCTTCTTATCCTCCTCCTCCTCCTCCTCCTCCTCCTCCTCCTCCTCCTCTTCCTCCCCCCCTCCTCCTCCTCCTCCTCCTCCTCCTCCTCCTCCTCCTCCTCCTCCTCCTCCCCCTCCTCCTCCAGGCACTGCTTTCATTCTTGTAAGTTGTGTAGAGTGTGCCAGGAGGAGGCGGGGACTCTTTCTCACAGGCAGTATCGGTGCGCGGCCTACCTCGCGCTGCGGAGAGACCAGGTCTCACCCCAGCTGGCGTGCAGGGCCGCCCGAGTGCAGGAGAAAGGTGAGGAAGCTGCTGAAAGATGTGCCAGGGCGATGTTTCCCTCCTCCTTGGCCCTTTTCCCGTCCCAGGATCCCGAGAATATGGTTTCTGGATGAATCAGCCTGCCGCAGGACGATTGTCGGGTTTAATCTTTTCTGACGGGTCGGCTGCCTGGCCAACCATCCCTGGGCTCTCGAGGGCTGGATAGGGCCTGGTTCAGGCCGACCCGCTCGGGAACGTCATTGCGGCATGCTACGTTCCTGTCCCGTTTTCACATGGGCCGAGACAGTCGGCCAAAGACGGGGAAGACTATGCTGTTTTCATGCTGACGCAATGTGCCATGTCGCCCATCGACCTGTTTTGTGATTGCCAGGGGGCCCTGGATGTCCTGTGGGGAGGCCCTGGGGCTGGTACGTCGGCGGGAGGTCCCAGGGCCCACCTCTGGGCGCCCTTCTGGCCCAGTTTTGGCCCTGGAGATGTCTCGGCGACAAAGACTGCGGCCCACTGCACCATGTCAGACGTCCACAATGGCAAGACGACCTTGTGGGAGAAACGTGCCAATGACTCGGCCGACACATATGCCAAGATGGGTGGGTGCGGCCAAGCATGTTTCAAGCGAAGAGGGTGTGAACCTGTACAGAGGGCCCATGAGCCTGGCCAAGGAGTCTGCTAAGTGGGCCGCTAACCTAGAGGTGTGTCTGCAAGGCCGGTCGGAGCGCAGAGCGGACACTGTGGGCCTGGCCTCCGAGGGAGCAGCTGACCCCGACGCCCATGAGCGAGCGCCTGTACCCGAGCCGCCCGAGGAGTCAGGGGGGGGCGGGGCTGAGTGTGCTGGTGTTGAGGGGCTGGACTGGGATGAGTTTGCGACGGCAGCCTTCTATCTCGAAGGCCACGCGCTGATGATGATCTGCGAGGTCGAGTCTCCGCAGAGAGCTGGTATGCCTATCGTTTTTTGTGTTAAATGCGGTGCATCGTGTGAGGACCTCCGCCCTGGGGGGTCGTTGTTCGAGGGCTGCCGACACAGGCCGAGGTCCTCACAAGTCAAGCACCAGCTCAAGCGTATCAGAGACGGTCGGCACCCGCATGGGCGGGCGTCTTCTTCCCGTCTCCTCTCCCTCTCCCCGCCTAGAGGCCTGGCGCAGGCGGAGAGGGATCTGATGGCGTTGCGCTGCTGCCCCGCCCCCGCCCGCGCCCCGCAGGGGTCCCCCCGAGGGAGGGCTCGGGTACGCCTCGCGGGAGGACGTGCTCTCGGCCTTCGGCCTCCTAGGTCCTCGAGGGGGACCCGGCCGACGTGGCGGAGCGCGGCAAGGCAGCCGCCAGGCCCCCCCCCCCCCAGGACGACGAGGAGGAGGCCTCGTCCGACCTTGAGGGGGGGTTGTTTTGATTTGTCCTCTCGACTTTAGGTTGCTCCACAGCAACAACCTCCACCCCCCTCTCCTCCTCCTCCGCCTCCCTCCTCTCCTCCTCCTCCATCCTCCTCCACCTGCTCCTCCTCTCCTCCTCCTCCTCCTCCTTTCCTGCTCCGCCTCCACATTCTCCTCCTCCTCCGCCTCCTCCTCTTCCTCACCTCTCTCCTCTCTCTATCCTCTTCCCCTCCTCTCTCCTCACCTCCTCCTCCTCTCCTGCTCCCTCCTCCTCCCTCCTCCTCCCTCCTCCTGCTCCTCCTCCAACCTCTTCCCATCCTCCCTAAACTCCTCCACCTCCCTCCTCCTCCTCTCCTCCTCCTCCTCCTGCTCCACCTCCTCCCTCCTCCTGCTCCTCCTCCTCCTCCTCCTCCTCCTTCATCCTCCTCCTCCTCCTCTCCCTCCTCCTCCTCCTCCTCCACCTCCTCCTCCTCCTCCTCCCTCCTCCTCCTCCTCCTCCTTCCTCCTCCTCCTCATCCTCCTCCTCCTCCCTCCTCTCTACTCATCCTGCTCCTCGTCCTCCTGCTCCTCCCTTCTGCTCCTCCTCCTCCTCCTCCGCCTCCTCCTCCACCTCCATCCTCCATCCCCATCCTCCTCCCTCCTCCTCTCCTCCTCCCTCCTCCGCCTCCTCCTCCTCCTCCACCTCCTCCTCCTCCTCCTCCTCCTCCTCCTCCTCAAGCCCCTGTTCTCCTCCCTCCCCCCTCTGCTTCGCTCTTCCCTCCCCTCCTCCGTCCTCTACCCTATACCCACAAACCCCGAGGAGCGAGGGGGAGAGGCGGAAGGAATGGAGAGATCAAACACACATTAATTATCCCGGCAAAGCAACCTAAAACAGCGATATGTAGGAGCATACCTGGAAGTATTCCCCTTAAGATTCAGATGATCAGCCAGTTGTAGAATTCTGCTGTTCTCGCAGTCGTAGTAGCATTCGCGATGACAGTCGCAGTGGCAACGGCAGTCGCAGTCACAGCCTCAGCGTCAGCCTGCCTCAGCCTCAGCCTCAGCCTGCCTCAGCCTCAGCCTGCCTCAGCCTCAGCCTCAGCCTGCTTCAGCCTCAGCCTCAGTCTGCCTTCAGCCTCGGCCTCAGCCTCAGCCTGCCTCAGCCTCAGCCTGCATCAGCCTCAGCCTCAGCCTCAGCCTGCCTCAGCATCAGCCTGCCTCAGCCTCAGCCTCAGCCTGCCTCTGCCTCAGCCTCAGCCTGCTTCAGCCTCAGCCTCAGTCTGCCGTCGGCCTCGGCCTCAGCCTCAGCCTGCCTCAGCCTCAGCCTGCATCAGCCTCAGCCTCAGCCTCAGCCTGCCTCAGCATCAGCCTGCCTCAGCCTCAGCCTCAGCCTGCCTCAGCCTCAGCCTCAGCCTGCTTCAGCCTCAGCCTCAGTCTGCCTTCAGCCTCGGCCTCAGCCTCAGCCTGCCTCAGCCTCAGCCTGCATCAGCCTCAGCCTCAGCCTCAGCCTGCCTCAGCATCAGCCTGCCTCAGCCTCAGCCTCAGCCTGCCTCAGCCTCAGCCTCAGCCTGCTTCAGCCTCAGCCTCAGTCTGCCTTCAGCCTCGGCCTCAGCCTCAGCCTGCCTCAGCCTCAGCCTGCATCAGCCTCAGCCTCAGCCTCAGCCTGCCTCAGCATCAGCCTGCCTCAGCCTCAGCCTCAGCCTCAGCCTGCCTCTGCCTCAGCCTGCTTCAGCCTCAGCCTCAGTCTGCCTTCAGCCTCGGCCTCAGCCTCAGCCTGCCTCAGCCTCAGCCTGCATCAGCCTCAGCCTCAGCCTCAGCCTGCCTCAGCATCAGCCTGCCTCAGCCTCAGCCTCAGCCTGCCTCAGCCTCAGCCTCAGCCTGCTTCAGCCTCAGCCTCAGTCTGCCTTCAGCCTCGGCCTCAGCCTCAGCCTGCCTCAGCCTCAGCCTGCCTCAGCCTCAGCCTCAGCCTGCCTCAGCATTCAATATGTGGCCCGGGAATGGAGTTCTGGAAACTCGAAGAACACGAAGTGGCCTACAGTTGGCTCCGGGCATTCAAAATCATGCCCAGGAATGGACTTCTGGGAACTCGAAGACCACGAAGTGGCCTTCAGTTGGCTCCGGGCATTCCAAATCATGCCCAGGAATGGAGTTCCGGGAACTCGAAGACCACGAAATGCGTTATGTTGGATAAAAAAGGAGTCCCCGGACTCCCGTCCGGATCCCGTCGGGATCCCGCCCAGACCCCCCTGGGGAGTCATGATGCTCTCTTTTGACCCTACTAGAAACCTATCAGTCTTCGCTGTTAGGTAAAAAGCTGCACTTCTAAACTTTTGGCATAAACCTGGACATTGGCACTAAGAACTGCAAAACACAGCCCAGGACCCAGACATTGACCCGAATCCTGCAGTGCAGCGAACCAGCTGATGACAATCGCCAGGACAACCGCAACTGCCGCCTGCATGGCTCGTAACCCCTCAGACGACCGCTGGCCCCAGCGATGGCAACCGCAAGCGTCGCCATGCCCGCTGTTCCGCTGGGTTTCGTGGAATGTGGCACTGCAGCGCGGTTGGGCTGTGTTGCCGACCTGCTAGAATCCTTGTTGGTGAATGTCCCGGTCTCGGGGGGTCTCAGCCCCACGCCAGGGCCACGCTGGTCGGGGGAATCATCCTCCACGTCCTCCTCCTCTCGGGCGTGAATTAACGAGGGGCGATAACTGAGGGAGAAGAAAGGTGCATTTCCCAAGCCTTGCAGGCCCCTTCAGGGGCCCTGAAGGGCCCCTTTTCTGCAACCCTCGCTGCCCCACCACGTGTCGCCCCCCCCTTACGCGACGCCCAATCCTCCCCCTCACCTCCCTCCTCTCCCGCTGCACCCTCTACCACCTCCGCCCTCCTCGCGCTGCTCCCACGGCAAACGACAACCGATGGCGACGGACGACGACGGCACACGACAGCGGCGGCGGCGACGACCGACCCCGAGACCCCTCCTGGAGCGCTCCCTGACCAGCAGTGCCTCCGAGGCGGACATGGCCGAGACGAGGGGGGCGCTCGCGGAGACCCCGAACGACGCGAAGACACGACGAGGGGCCTCGGTCCTCGGCACCCGGTCCTCGACGACGGAATGGTAGGAGGGCAGGACATCCACCCCGATAAGAACCGCCCCGACACGCGAGGCCGCGCCCAAAGAAGGAATCGAACAGGGCAGGGCTGTTTGGTAAACGCCCCGGGCCGTTCAGTGAACGCCAGTTGTCTGGTCCGGGTGGTTTTTTTCCTCCCTTGAAATAGATCCTCGGCAACGAACAAAAAACAGCGGTGACAACGGAAGTGGCGGCAGACGGCGACAATACTGACGCCGACGACAACGACAACGCCCAAGCCAACACCGACGCCGACGCCGACCCCAACGCCGCGGCCACGCCGACGCCGACGACGACGAGGCGAAGTCGACGATGAACACGACGACGACGACGACGACGACGACGACGACGACGACGACGACGACGACGCCGACGCCGCCGCCGCCGACGACGACGACGACGACGACGACGAAGACGATGTCGACGACGACGGCAACAACGCCGGTTCCGACGCTGACGCCGACACCGACGACGCCGACGACGACGACGACGACGAAGTCGACGACAACGACGACGACGGCGACACCGACGCCGGCGGAAAACAACGACGACGGACGGCGGCGGCGGCGGCAGCGGCGGCGATGCACGGCGCGGTCCTCGGTAACGCCCTGCCGCCCCCTGGCGGAGCTGCCCGACGCGGGGAGGTTGCCCACGGTGTGGCCTTCCGACGCCACCGCCGCCCGCCGGCGCGTCATCGATAATCGTCGTCGTAGTCGTCGTCGTCGTCGTCGTCGTCGTCGTCGTCATCGTCGTCGTCGTCGTCGAGGTCGTGGTCGTCGCCGTGCTCGTCGTCATCGTCGTCGTCATCGTCGTCGTCGTCGCCCATCGTCGTCCTCGTCGTCGTGGTCGTCGTCGTCTTCGTCGTCTTCGTCGTCGCCGTCGTCGCCGTCGTCGTCGTCGTCGTTGGCCGCCGCCGCTGTCCGTCCGCCCTCGTGGTCGTTCGCCGTCGTCAGTCGTCGTCGCTGCCCGTCGTCGCGGGTGGTGGTCGTTGTCCCTCGTCGTGATCGTCGTCGTCGTCGCGCATCGTCCGTGGTCTGTCGATCGTCGTCCGTCGTCGTGGTCCGTCGTCCGTCGTCCGTCTTCTGTCGTCCGTCGTCTTCGTCCATCGTCGTCCTCGTCGTCATCGTCGTCGTCGTCAAGGCTGGCCACCGCCGCTGTCCGTCCGCCGTCGTAGTCCGCCGTCGTAGTCCGTCGTCGTCCGTCGTCCGTCGTCCGTCGTCCGTCGTCGCACGTCGTCGTCGTCGTCGTCGTCCGTCGTCTATCGTCTGTCGTCCGTGGTCCGTCGTCCGTGGTCCGTCGTCCGTCGTCGTCGTCGTCGTCGTCGTCCGTCGTCCGTCGTGAGTCGACCGTCGTCCGTCATCGCACGTCGTCGTCGTTGCTCGCCGCCGCTGTACCCCGACCGTCATCGTCGTCGTCCATCGTCTGGCGTCGTCGCCGTCGTGGTTGTTCGCCGTCGTCCGTCGCCGTCGTGGTTGTTCGCCGTCATCCGTCGTCAGTCGTCGTCTTCGTCGTCGTCGTCGTCGTGGTCGTCGTCGTCGTCGTCATCGTCGTCGTCTTTGTCGTTGGCCGCCGCCGCTGTCCGTCGCCGTCGTTCGTCGTCGTCCATCGTCTGGCGCCGTCGCCATCGTGGTCGTTCGCCGTCGTCAGTCGTCGTCGCTATCCATCGTGGTTGGTCTGGTCGGTGTCCCTCGCCATCGTCGTCGTCGTCGTCGTCATCGTCGTCTATCGGCTGTCGTCCGTGGTCCGTCGTTGTGGTCCGTCGTCTGTCGTCCGTCGTCGCCCATTTTCCACCGTCCGTCTTCCGTCGTCCGTCGTCCGTCGTCGTCGTCGTCGTCATCGTCGTCGTCGCCGTTGGCACCCGCCGTCCGTCCGCCGTCCGTCGTCGTCTGTCGTCCGTCGTCGTCCGTCGTCGTCGTTGTCCGTCGTCGCTGGTCGGTGTCGTTGTCCTTCTTCGGTGGTTGTCGTCGTCCTCGTCTTCGTCGTCGTCCGTCGTCCGTCGTCGTCGTCGTCGTCGTCGTCGTCGTCGTCGTCGTCGCTGTCCATCGTCGGTGGTCGTGGTCGTTGTCCCTTGTCGTCGTCGTCGTCGTCGCCGCCGTCGACGCCGCCACCACCGCCGTCTGTCGTCCGCGATATCCGTCGGTTGGCCCGCCTCCGAAGAGGCAGGTTTCGAATACAGCGCTGGAGAAGTGCCTGCGAGGGACTGGCCGAGGGGCCAAAAGACGCCGCCACGTGAGGGCCCGAAAACAAATGCAGCAGATGGAGGAAGAGGGATGAAGGAAAGAGGGAGACGGATGGAGACGGAAGGAGAGAAGGGAGGGGAGAGGGTCGGTCGGTCGGATGTCGGGAGGCAGAGGGATGATGAGGAGGAGGAGGAGGAGAGGAAAATATGAGGAAAAGTGTGAGGAGAGTAAGGAGGGAGAGGGAGGAGGGAGAGGGAGGAGGTGGAGAAGTACGGAGGTGGAGGTGGAGCAGGAGGAAGAGGCGGAGGAGGACCCCCCCCAAAAAAAAAACTGGCCGAAGGGCGACGCCCCCCCCCCCTCTCCAGAGCGCCGGCCACAGCTCCCCCAACGCGGCGGACACTGGCCGACATCTCCGCCAACGCCCGTCGAGGGGCACCGCCGACGTGCACCAAGTCCCTCCTCTCCTTCCCTGGGGCGACGAAGTCTGCACGTATCCACCGCTCCCTGGCCAGGCCCACCCTGAACCCCGCCGCGGTGCATACGCCACGCCCTCCTGGCTTGGCCAGGAGGGCTATATATGATCCAGGGTCGAGGGTTCACGGGCCCCCCCCCCCTCCCCAGATGGTATGGTCCCAGGATTCCTCGGGCCCCCCCCCCAGATGGTATGGTCCCAGAGACGACGACGACGACGACGGCGACGACGACGACGACGGCGACGACTACGACGACGGCGACGACGACGGCGACAACGGCGACGACGACGACGGCTGCGGCGGCGACGACGCCGACGGCGGCGGCGGCGACGACGACGATGACGACGACGACGGCGACGACGACAATGACGACGACGACGATGACGACGACGACGAGGACGACGAGGACGACGAGGACGACGACGACGACGACGACGACGACGACCCCTGAACCACCACAGCACCACACCACATCCACAGGGGGGGGGAGGGGGGCTCCGCAGCGCAGCACCACGCCACACACGCAGCCCACCAGCACGTCCACAGGGGGGGGTCCACAGGGGGGGGCGGGGGACCATCGCGGGGGGGGGGGGGGGGGGGCCATGGCATCAGCATTGGGGGGGGGGGGGGGGGGGGCAAGCCCTGGACAATGTATACATCTATGTATAGATACGCAGCTGATGTGGGGACACCTCTCTATGGATATGTATATGTATACGCAATTTATGCATACAGATGTATGTATAATGTATAACCATATGTATATATATATACATATATTATCCGCCGGCCCCCTTGTGGGGCCACCAGGCTGCGAGGCGCGTGATTCGCAGTTTCCTGTACCAGTTGTAGTTTGTAGTTTCCAGTGTTACAGTTCTGCTTCTTGCTGGTTACTGTAACTAGTTGACTGATTGCTGGTTACTGTAACTAGTTGATTGACCGCGCGAGGGGGGGGGGAGGCCCAAACGGGATTTTTAGCGTCTCCTGGGCGCGTTGTCTGAATTGCTGGGGGGGCTCGAAATCGACACCCCTCACGCAGATCCGCGGGGTCAGGGTCCAAAAACACAAGGGATTTGCCACATTTCTGAAACTCGGTGCCACCCCTCACGCAGATCCGCGGGGTCAGGGTCCAAAAACACACGGGATTTGCCACATTTCTGAAATTCGGTGCCACCCCTCACGCAGATCCGCGGGGTCAGGGTCCAAAAACACAGGGATTTGCCACATTTCTGAAATTCGGTGCCACCCCTCACGCAGATCCGCGGGGTCAGGGTCCAAAAACACACGGGATTTGCCACATTTCTGAAATTCGGTGCCACCCCTCACGCAGATCCGCGGGGTCAGGGTCCAAAAACACAGGGGATTTGCCACATTTCTGAAATTCAGTGCCACCCTTCACGCACATCCATCGCAAGGCGTGGTAACCCAAACTGCGAGAACTCCCTCGGCCCTTTAATCGCAAGGTGTGGCAACCAAGCCCGTAAACCATACACGTCTTACCAATCGCCAGGTGTGGTAACCCCTCTTGTGATCAGTTGGTTTTGCTGATTGCGAATCGGCTTCGCATGAAGTTTCGATACTGCTTCACGACAGCGCCAAGACCTCATGACTTAGCTCTTCCATGGCCCATTCTCCGAGGGAGGGGGCCGGCGGCAGCGGGCGAAGCCCTTACGGATATATACATATATATATATATATATATATATGTGTGTGCATGTGTAGACATACATATATATAATTATGTATACCGCTGCTTCCCGGGCCTCTCCCGCCCCTGCTCGCACAGCACGGGCCTCGCGAGCCATCGCCTCCGAGCATCGCGCCCTCGGTCGATCGTTTCGCTTCCGGGCCCCAGGGCTTCTGTGGGCCCCCTCCGGCCATCGGGGGATACGAAACTTCTGAGGGGCGCCTGTCGGCGGGCCGGTTTCTGATTTGACGTGCCTACCAGAAACCCAAAAGGAGTGGCGCGCCTTTCTCTGGCGATGACTTGACCTGGCTATCGTTCCACTGTGTCCTGCTGGATGCGTGGCTTAAGTGAGTGACGAGTGAGATCCGCCACGCCGGCAATACCACCGAACACCGGCCGAACCCACAACAGGACCGCAACCGACAGAAGCCGACAGGCCGCAGGCACGCAACGAAGAAGGGCGCAGCGGCACAGCAAGAACACAACAACCAACATCTGCAGACAAGGCTTAGGTCGGGCATGTCCCCCTACAGGGGGCTTTTCGACGAAAAATAAAAAATACCCCACAAATTTACCAAAATGGTCCGAAAATACTAGAACAATCGTGCCCAGACTATTTTTGGACTACTTTTAGATTTTCCCCCTGTAGAGGGACAGGCCCGACTTAAGACCAACATCTACACGGCGCCGCCGAGCCGACCAAACTGTGGACACCCTCGTCGACCCTCGGGCCTCGCGCCCTCGCCCCCTCAAACTTTTGCAGGGGGGCGCCTCTCGGCGCGTGCCCGCCCCCCCCCCCCCCCACACACACAGGAGGACGAGGAGGGAGGGAGGCAGAGAGGAGGAGAGAGGAGAGGAGAGGAGGAGGGAGGAGGAGGAGGAGGAGGAGGAGGAGGAGGAGGTAGGGAAGGGAAGGGAAGGGAAGGGAAAGGAAAGGAAAGGGGAGGAGGAGGAAGAGGAGGAGGAGGAAGAGGAGGAGGAGGAGGAGGAAGAGGAGGAGGAGGAAGACCAACCCTCGAGCCTCGCGCCCTCGGGCCCTCGAGCGGACGGCGCGACCCCGCGCGGCGCCTTCGATGGTCGCCCTGTCCAGGCCGCGGGGCGAGTCCTGGGAAGGCCGCCGCCGCCCCCTGGGCCCACCGTCGTCGCCGTCCGCCCGCCCATCGCCATCGATGCTACCCCCGCCGTGCGCCGGCGCCGCCGAGGCGCCGTCCATTGCCGCCGAGGCGCCGCCGAGGCGCCGTCGAAGCGCCGTCGAAGCCGCCGAGGAACCGCCGAGGCAACGCCGAAACCGCCAAGACGTCGGACCGCCGGCGCGGGGCGGCCGGAGCGGAGCAGGAGGAGGAGGCAGGAGGAGGAGGAGCAAGCGCCGGAGGAGAGGAGGAGGAGGAGAAGGAGGAGGAGGAGAAGGAGGAGCAAGCGCAAGAGGATGGAGGAAAGGAGGTGAAGAGGAGGAGGAGGAGAAGGAGGAGCAAGCGCAAGAGGATGGAGGACAAGAGGATGGATGAAGAGGAGGAGGAAGGAGGAGGAGGACGAGGACGAGGACGAGGAGAGGGAGGGAGGAGGAGGGGGAGGAGGAGGAGGAGGAGGAGGAGGAGGAGGAGGAGGAGGAGGAGGAGGAGGAGGGAGGAGGAGGGAGGAGGAGGAGGAAGAGGGAGGAGGGAGGGAGGAAGAGGGAGCCGGTGGAGCTGGTGGGGCGGTCGGCGCCGCCTGTATCGGCGGGGTGAAAATAGAGCCAGAGACCGGGCCGCAGGTCCGGCGGAGGTGGGTGGAGTCGCGCCCCCCTCGGAGGGGGGCGATCGGGGGTTGGCGACATGGGTTCCCCCCCGTGTTGGGGTCCCTTCCAGCTCGGGGTCCCCAGGCCCCGTCCTCCGCTCGCCGCCTTCTGGGCGGGAGGCCGGGGGGGTGCGCCTGCGCGGCAAGGCCCGTGCAGCCGCGGCGGCGCAAAGGCGCTGTGCGGCGGCGCTGGCGCGGGCGCGTTGCGCCGTGCCGCCGTGCGGTCCCGGGTCAACCTCTGTGAGGCTCGGCGCTGTGCGGAGAGCGTGGGCGCGTTGCGCCACGCGACAAGGGCTTCGGGGGTGGGCGGGCGTTTGAAGGCCTCCCTCCCGAGGCACAGCGAAGGTGAATGGCGGTCTTGAAGCTCGTCCCCGTGCGCACCCCAGTCGAACAAAAAAGAGGAGGAAGAAGAGGAGTTTGGAGGGGGAGGGGGAGGAGGCCGTCGCTCCTCCCTCCTCCTCCCCATTGTCTGCGTGTCGGTCCAACACTCACTTTTACCCCCCCTCGGCCGGCGACTCCTACAGCGGTGCTCCAGGACTCGCCTGGCTGTACTTTGGCCAATCACCCATGGCCGACTGGCCCTGGGGGGGAAGGCGGTGATCGAAGATCTCCCATGCCATCAGGTGCCAGGAACCACGAGGAGGAGGGAAAGAGGAGGAGGAAAAGGAGGAGGAGGAGGAGGAGGAAGAGAAAAAGAGCAGGACGATTAACCGAGGGATATATATATATATATAGAGAGAGAGAGAGAGAGAGAGAGAGAGAGAGAGCGCGACAGAGAGAGAGGAACAACACACATAACAACACCACCACCACCACCAACAACAACAACAACAGCAACAACAACAGCAACAGCAACAGCACCGGCAACAACAACCACCACAACAACAACCACCACAACAACAACAGCAGCAACAACAACACCAACAACAACACAGCGACAATCAATTTACCCTCATGCGCAAGGCTTCCACACGCAACATGCGGCCATCATGATAACCATCACCTATCATGGGGGATTATTGTTCTATCGCGGGGGCCCGTTCCTCCCATTCCCGGATTTTCCGCCCACCGAGGTCGTGCAATCACCTCCTCCAATGAAGTGCAACATTATCCCATATCGAAAACACATGCCCGCGCCCTGCTGCGCCGATGCGAAACCGCCAGTGGAGCCCCAGCCAAGGGTAAAGCACAAGGAAATAGCGAACGACAGGATTGGCTTGGTGGAGATGGGGGCTGTCGGCGGCGAGGCAGGGACCTGGCCCTGAATAGAAAGGGAGGAGCTCTCGAGCAGGGGTGCTGTTGTTGCTGGGAACGGCGCCACGGCAAAAGAGAGTCGGGCGCTAGTCCAGCGCAGAAAAAACAAAATCTCGAGCGGGCGCGTTGGTTTTGTTGGGACGGCGGTTGTCGGCGGCGAGGAGGAACACCGCTTAGAGTAAAAAGGGAAAAAACTCGAGCGGGAGCCGCGGTTTGGTCGGGACGGGGGAAGTCAGCGGCGAGGAACAGCACCGTCCTACGGAAAAAGCGAGGAGCGGGAGCGTTGTTCTTGCTGGGGGCGGCGCCCATTCAAAGAGTAGGGCGCCAATCCATGGTACAACGGGGGCATGAAAAACGCCCCCCGCCCCCCACAGGAGGGGTTTCAGGCCAATTGGACCGTCAAACGACGCGCGAACTGCAAGCGGAAACTGCTTGACGGTCAGCCAACGACAACGCCGCGCATTTCAATGCGAACGGCGCGCTGCTGCTATGCTCAGTGGCGTTTGAACTTGGCGTTTCCTTGCGCTGGTACGCGGCCAATGCCCCAAATCATTGTGGACATTCGCGCGCTCGTGCCAAGGCAAAGACCCATGGGCGCGTCGGCCCTTGACGGCGCTGACGAGAGCCCCAGGCGGCGCCCGGGGCCCGCCCCGCACGGGCGCGCATCGAAAAGCTGAGATCCACCCCAAAAACAAAGTTTAGGCACCAGGCGACAACAACTTATACAAACTCCATACGGAATCGATATAATCCTCTCCGAAGCAGATCGTCTCGCGCAGGAGAACCTCGAAACGTTTTTATAAACAGGAAAGGTGTTTACATAAACATAAACAGCGGCATTTTGGACCAATTGCCTTAAAAGAAACGCTCCCGATCTAAACTTTTCCGTGGGCAAGGTTATGAAGGGGCGACGGAGGAAGGCGCGGGAGCCCTCGGCTGGGCCAGTGGCGCTGCCGTGCAAGAGGAAGCGCCGCCGTCGCCTCAAACTGCATGCCGCGGCCGTGGCACGCGCGGCCCTGGAAATGCCGGCGCGGCCGCGGCCGCGTCGAGCGGGCCGGGCCCAAGACATCCCCGCGCGCGCGGGGCCCCCCTGTGGCAGCTGGCGCTGGTCTCGCCGACAAGGCGCCTACACTGACGCTCGCTCGCCGTAAATGCAAAACGCTGACATGTAAAATCCATAATTGTGGGGGCCGGGGTCGGTTTCCCACTGCTAAAGGAAGTCACGGGCGGGAGCGCTGGTTTTGTTGGGGCGGCGGTTTTCGGCGGCGAGCAAGAGCACCAGCCCTGAGTAATTATGCTAACGGAGTTCCCCACATAAAGAGATTAACGGTTTCGTGGGACCCATTTTCTTGATACCCTCCTCGCTCAGGCGGGGCCTCCCTGGAGGGGTGGGAGGGGCACGAAACCATGTAACTAGTATGGTATTCCGATACCCTCCTCGCTCAGGCGGGGCCTCCCTGGAGGGGTGGGAGGGGCACGAAACATGTAAACAGTATGGTATTCCGATACCCTCCTCGCTCAGGCGGGGCCTCCGTGGAGGGGTGGGAGGGGCACGAAACCATGTAAATAGTATGGATCTCACGACGTTGTCGATGCTTTTCCCCAGCATCAAGGGGGCGAATGTACCCCCAGCCCACCAGGGAAGGAACCGCCAGGAGACGACCTGGTGATCACCCCCCGAAACTTCCGCGCTGGCCGTCGCCTCGGGAAGCGGGAGCTGAGGCAGAAACGGCCGCGCACGGGCCGTATGTGAATCCCTCGCCGCATCTACGCGCGCGTCGCGGCGCGAAGCAGGGGGGGCGGGAGGGCGATTGCGCGTTCTGCGACGCGGCCTGCGCCCTGTGAGGCGTCCTGCCACGAGACGACAGGAAAGTGCGAAGCAGGGCGCCATGTGAGACGCCCTGCGACGCAATGCGCCCTGTGCGGCGCTCTGCCAACGGACGGCAGGCACTCGGCCCCGCGGGGACGTGACCCCCCGAGCCTTAGCCCAGCGGCACAGTAGGCGCCGACGAAGCCGGGTAAGGCCGCCTGCGGACCATTGCCAGCACAGTAGGCACTGGCAATGCTGATCGTGTCCCTGATGTCCGAAGCATCTGCGTCTCTAGATCGCCCATTATCCGAAAAGCTTCGCCTTCCTCCTAATAGGATCAATCTCACGACGTTGTCGATGCTTTTCCCCAGCATCAAGGGGGCGAATGTACCCCCAGCCCACCAGGGAAGGAGCCGCCAGGAGACGACCTGGTGATCACCCCTCGAAGCAGGCCCCCTTGAGGCGGTGTTCCGCGAAGCGGTGTGTGTTGGGAGCCGGCGGTCTTTTTTCCTTGCGGGCCTCCGAGCGAGCGCACGGATGCCGTCTTCTCTCGCAAGCGTTTGGTCGGCCGGTCCGTCGTCTGCTCTGCAGAAGAGACTGCTAGGCTATCGACGAAACGCTGCATTAACGTATCCGGGGATGTGTCGGCGTACGTATGACGCATGACGTCCTCCGAATTCCACCCACCTTGCCGTTGGACCACGTGCGGGGGGATCTTTGCTACGTGCGTGAACCATTCTGTTCCGCCTCTACGAAACGAATGCGTGCTAGCGGCTGGGTCCTTAAAGTGTGACGAAACCGCCTTGCGCCACGAATCCGCGCTAACAGGCTGGAGTTGGGAACCTGTCGTGGTGCAGAATAGGGAAGGCACGTGAGCTGCCGTCGCGGCTTTCCAAACCATCCAATCTTGCAGGAATTTCGCCGGGGATAGCCCAGCAATAACCTTGAACGGAATGAAACACCATTGGCCTTTGCCACACGGGTCGTTCTTCTGTTTCCTGATGAAACAACGCGCGCACGAGGCTTTAAAATGCACGTCCTGAACGCGGAGGTTGATCGCCTCCGAAACGCGGCGCAAGCCGAAAAAACAAAACGACGCGAAAGCTGCATCCCTCCGCCCAGCCGGCGTGCCTGTTGCCGCCCTGGCCGTGCAAAACAGCGCCCACTCTTCAACACTAATCGCACGTTTTTGGTGCGATGCGTGGGATGCTCTCTTTTTTCAGGCCTCGCCAAAAATGCAAAGCCCGATCGTCCCAGCAATCGTCGAA